CCTTGAGCTACTTAAGGATTTACATTTGCTTTCGGAGGAAACACACGTAGATGGTAAATAGGAATCTTTACCTGTAATGCCCAAACTTCTCATCTAAAGCTGATGAGTCAACCAGCTCAGGGCATTCATCTTCGTTCTCCTTATCCTTACTGCACTCTCCTTCACCTCTCTAATTTTCCACTCCAGCAGCATTTTCAGTTATGCTTTTGCTCTAAGAAAAATCAGTTTCAGAACTCTCTGCATCTTTACTCAGCTTCCAATGCATACTTGGCCATTTTCCAAGGCTGAACTCAACTCTGACATAATCAGCCTTTGTGTATTTTCACTACTTCCAGCTGTTTCTGCCCCTTCCTCACTGCTGTACACGGTGCTGTTAGAGGTTTTGCTCTCAGAGACATCACCCACTTCAGACGTGAGGTCTGCACTGCTCTCTTCGTCTTTGCTGAAGTAGTTGAGCTTGTCCTCAGCACCTTCTACAAATTCTAACAGCTCCGTTGCACTGTCATCCTCCTCAGAGCCTGATGGGTAAAGCAGTTCACCATCTTCCTGCATTTCTTTTGTGTAGCCACTGGCAGCAATTTCTTTGGAGAGAAATCTCTCTGTCGAGACAACACTCTCTCCTGTGAAAGAGATATGTTTAGTTTTAATATGCTTTTGGGTTAAAAACGTGAAACAAACCAGGCCATAATGACCCAGACTATCAACAAGGAGGATATACTCTGTAGAAATACACAAAACACCACACGACAGTGCTGAGCTTGAGGCAAACTATTAACGGAATGTAACCTCAGAGGGAGGAAACTTCTACAGAAGATGACTCCACCTCCATAATCTGCATTTCTATTTATTTAGAGGGCATTATTTTACTTTAGCAGGAATACCTTTTGGGTTTAAGTTCCAATTATGCTCAGGCCAACAGAAGAGTAAAGGGCTGCTGATACACAGGGACTGATCCCAGTCTGGGAGCCCTTTGGAAAGGGCTCGGAGTGAAATAAAACCCTTTCATTGCAACAGCTTCCATGTTAAAATGAGTGAAAAGTTACTTTACTTTTCAAAAGGGATGAAAGACATTGGTAAGAAGAGTTTGTATGTATTAGTGCTCAAAGGGGAATCACCAGATTTACTAGCATGTTAAAAATAAATTTCAAGTTGAAACCCAAATTAATCCTCAATACACTACAGCTGAGGAAAGGCTGATTCTGCAGCATTATGGACATTTCCTAGACATTTACCATTTAGATCAACCCTTTGGACTCCTCTCTCTTCCTTAGTTGCAAGAAGACAGACAAAGGAGGCAGCAGAGGATTTTAGAGCACAAAAAAAAATAATTTACAGTAAGTTTGGTGGAAGAGAACACAACAAGAATGGCAAAAAGGTAATTTAAAATTGTATAGTTTGGCCTTTTTCTTATTGCTCCTACAGGCAGCTCTCACAGGCACTGCTCCTTCTCACAAAGCCAACACTAATGCCACCAAGAGGAAAGCTCAAACTCATCTGGGCATTCCTACCTGATGTCTTTGAACGTGGGGAAGAGCTCACTCTCGTAGTTGAAGCGTTTCTTAAAGAACTCCTTAATACAGTTAACATCTCTGTCAAAATACCTGTAAAAATAGAGTTGTCCATACAAAAAATCAATGAAGTCTACTGCAATGACAAACTTTTACCCTATGCTTCTTGTCTTTCACTGGGTTTAGTTGAAAAATATTTCTATTACTGTTAGGAAGAAAAACTGCATGAAGTTCATTCTCCCCATCTATTCTGCTCAGGTGAGACCCACCTGGAGTACTGCACAGTTCTGGTGTCCCCAACACAAGAAGGACATGGAACTGCTGCAGCAAGTCCAGAGGAGGCCACAAAGCTGATCAGAGCACTGCAGCACCTTCCCTACAAGGACAGGCAGAGAGAGTTGGGGCTGGT